ATATTTTTTTGTTCCATAATTAAATGTTCTAGAATTTTCTTTGTTTAAAATATTATACGATAGACTTCCTTAGTATTTATAATATCATGAAAATTATGACTAGTTGTTTATGCAATAGTATGATGGATCCTGAACTTGTCCGATATATTCGCCAGCAATTTCTTTAGTTTCAAATTTGTTTGTTAACTTTTACTTTTAAAAAATATTTTACTCAATATGATTTGTTTCTTTTGATAATAAATGTATACTTTAGGTACTATTAGAAATTTTGGAAATAACATTAAATGAAGTTAAAGAATGGTTGTAAAAGTAGACGTCCAATTATCCATCCGTGTATTACATTTTATATGCAAGATTTTATAAGATTTAAAAGTTGGATCAGTATTTTTAACATACAAATTTTTTCCATTGATTGTCACATTTTTACTTTTTAGGAATATACATACATATACATACAGTATTTAATGAAAATGTTTTTATTAAGCTCAACTTTGAATTTCGAAGCCTAATGTTTCGATTTTGGAAATAATTGCTTAACAAAATTATCCGCTATATAATATTTAACTATCACAAGTTCCCAATATTCTTACATTTGCTTCGGGAGAGCTCAATGGAGTCCATAAAGAAAATTTGCCAAAGTTTTTAAGACCATCACTTTAGGACCTAACGGCATATGTCAGCGAAGTATAAGTTATAATTCTATTATCTTTAAACTTTTATTGTTCCTTTATTCGGTAGCGACGGTGTTGTCGACTACCACGAACTATTTAAATAATAGTTATTTATTTATTATCGCTACTTTTACTATAAGTAGTTTGAATACTTATGTGCGTTGTGATTGGTAGCGACGGTGTTGTCGACTACCCACTAACTATTTAAATAATATTTCCGATTATGCGATAGCGACGGTGTTGTCGACTACCACGGAATTATGTTATTTTAAATAAGCACAAGTTGAGTTCCGTTCTTAAACTGTTTTATTAAAATAACATTTCTCTTATTTATAACCTACTATTACTATCGCCGCTACTGCCATTGACGCTGCTTTTCTAAGTTTCTGCTGACGCCTAAGCTTGTGTAAGGCATTGCGTTACATCCGCCGGTCACACGGTCGGTGGCTACTGCAAGGTGTTGAATTGCGGCTGTCGGTCATTCAGAAATCCAAACTGCATAGGTTGCAATTTTGGCAGTTCAAGAGACTGACTTAGTTAACTATTGTTAACTACTCCCTCTTCCAAAATATGGGCGTCCTCGGCCATACCCAACCTTTCCAGTACTCGCCGCACAGCCTCCGAAGTTTTATTTCGTCGCCGACGCATCAGTAAAACGATTAATCCGATTGTGGTTACGGAGATAATGGCACAGATTACGGCGGTAACGACTGGTGTAGCAATTGTTCGTATGCGTAGTTCGGAGATGCGTTGCAAGTTCTTTTTACTCAACTTGTGAAGGAATGGTAAGCTTGGCAGGGCATGATGGTAGGTTACGTTGAGTCGCGCTGAAGTCGCCAGTTGGGGAAGTCTCTTCGGATAGTCATTGAAGTTGACATGTTTTGTACCATTGATAAAGGCGGTGCGTTTAAACGTAATAAGGTAAGGGTCGTTCACAAAAATTTCAGGGCCATCATCTACGCTAACCTCGACCAGCGCATCATTTACCACCATTATACCGTCGTCTATGACAGAGATGGTGGCTAAATCAGTGGACCTGGTAGCACAGTGGGCTACGATGTCAGAGTGGGGACCTTGCGCGCAGGTTCCATTTACGGCATCTCTACAGAACGTTATCATTGGCGTGTCACGCAAGAAGTAACAGCGGTGATGCTACCTTCACAGTCAGCTATGATGTTATCTAACAAGTGCAATATACGGCCAGCATGCGATATGGAAAAATAGTAATATTTTTACATAGTAACTAGTTCTAGGGAAGCTGATTACAAAAATTATTATTTCTTTATTCGCTAAAACCTTAACTCTAGCTATCCTAAGCAATTGGGTTATTGTAACTCTCTTAAAACCCTCCTTCATAACCGCCTCTGTAATAACTGTATCAAAATAACTGTATCGGAAGTTTTCATTTGAGGTTGTCCTTGTGAACCACCCTCCCCTTAATAAGAACGGTTGTTCCTAAATCAGCGTCAACCTTCTCTTCAATATGCAATGGGATGACCTTGTCGCCCAACCTCTTGTTGGATTTTTTCTCCCACTTCGAAGACCATATTCTGGCGATAAGCGTTGCTCCGATCTATTTGCCTCGTAGCAATATTCGGGAAAATATGTGAACTGGCATGGAGGATTCCAATCGCCTTCTCCGCTAACAAATTAAGAGTATCTGTTTCATAGCCGGCTACATTTTCAGCTTCTATTTCTGCCGCTGCATCATAAGCAGCTTGATCGTGTTGATTTTTGTATTGGGATACATCATTTTTTTCTTGTGTCAAATAATTTACGCTCTGGCGTCTGTAATCAGACATTCTTTGAGATGCTGCCTCCCGCCAGGACACATATAGTTCCTGTAAGCCATCGAACTCTGGGACCGACTTAACTGCATCCAGCCCTTCATGACATTCGACACCGTCTATAATTTTTATTGGCTCGTAGGCCTTGATTTCGGGGGCTGTCACAGTTGTGAATTGGTTTGTAAGCTGCTCTATCCTGGCTTCGAATTCTTTTCTTTGAACCTGCAGTGCGGCACTAACGGCCGCATAGATAATACCTTGCAACTGCTGTTCATTCATATCTTGCCCGCGTTTGATTCGTTAGTTTAAGTCGACAGTTACACAGTCATACAGTTACAGTCAATACAAATACTACTAAAGAGTCGATATATGGCGGATATGAAAAGGGGTTTCACTTACATAATTATATTGAGATTTTCTTTCTTCTACGTTGATTGTGATCTTCTTTCTTCCTCCTTGGTTCCGATCTTCCTTCTTGCACGTTGCTTGTAATCTTTCTTCCACGTTGGAATGGCAATTTGCGGATTAAATTCAGTACTTTTCTCGTAACGACGAATTTCATGTACCGCGACAATGACGATGGGGTTTTGTTATTATTATTATTTTTTTTTGACAGCACTTTTCACGAGCCCCACGTTGGGCGCCAGTTATAATTCTATTATCTTTAAACTTTTATTGTTCCTTTATTCGGTAGCGACGGTGTTGTCGACTACCACGAACTATTTAAATAATAGTTATTTATTTATTATCGCTACTTTTACTATAAGTAGTTTGAATACTTATGTGCGTTGTGATTGGTAGCGACGGTGTTGTCGACTACCCACTAACTATTTAAATAATATTTCCGATTATGCGATAGCGACGGTGTTGTCGACTACCACGGAATTATGTTATTTTAAATAAGCACAAGTTGAGTTCCGTTCTTAAACTGTTTTATTAAAATAACATTTCTCTTATTTATAACCTACTATTACTATCGCCGCTACTGCCATTGACGCTGCTTTTCTAAGTTTCTGCTGACGCCTAAGCTTGTGTAAGGCATTGCGTTACATCCGCCGGTCACACGGTCGGTGGCTACTGCAAGGTGTTGAATTGCGGCTGTCGGTCATTCAGAAATCCAAACTGCATAGGTTGCAATTTTGGCAGTTCAAGAGACTGACTTAGTTAACTATTGTTAACTTATATGCTGCTTTGGTCAATTCCGAGTGTAGATAAGTGCTTTATTTCCAAACGCATATGATATGAATTTGTTGATGTTGACAAAAACTTTTTATGTTTTGAAAAAATTAGACGAAGAACTATTTTTAATATGGAGTTTGGAATAACGTCAAATAAAACAGCTTTGTCTGATTCAATTAACCGGAAATCACTTATTGTATTGTAATAAAATTATGTTCTGATGTACATAAGTTAAACTTTTCAATAAAGTGTTTAAAGTCGTCAGCTTGTTAGACTCTTATTATATATATATATAGATTTTTTAAAGTGAACCTTTTTTATCTATCGTCTCGAATTTTATCTTCCAACAGTCGCATGTCGCATACAGCTCTTTATATATAACAAATGGCCAAATATTAGTTTATATATAATTATTCTATATTTTATTTTATTTTCTAACATAGTTGATAGCAAATATGAATACTGATGCTTTTGTCAAACAGCAAATTATTTGAATTCTTTTGCTTTGTTGTTTGTTTATTTTATAGCAAATACCTACAATCTGTAAAAAGTTTCACGCTAATCGCGATTTCACAAAACCACACACTCTTGTTTCTACCTTGTATTTTCATTACAAGTTAAGAATATATATGCTTAACAGTATTAATGAGAGTTGTGGGAATTTGCTATTGTTATCTTTAATAGTTGTCGTTGATTGAATCTAATAGGCATGGAAACGTGCGAATTATGTTCACTTACTGCAGTAACAAATTATTTCAACAAAATTATTTAAATATTTTCAAAAATAATTTATCTTCTTGCACAAATTATAAGATTACAAAAGCAGGCGTAAATCAAATTGCTAAAGCATTCGGACAATTATTGCCAATAACAGTCTACGTAAAATAGTTTGATTTTATAATTGAATTCAAATAGCAATCACTTTGCAAATAGTATTTTGGCATGCATACGATGATGCATGTAATTACCACCTCAAACAATAAGAGGATAACACTAATTATAAATAATTTTACACCTCAACACACTGCGAATTCTTTACACCAATGGCCTAATCCATATTTTGACTAAACATTTGTCTTCATTAAATGACCTAAATATGTACGTGCAGTCATAAACTACTACCAACATTAAACCAGTTTAGTTGAGCAAAAACCAATTCGACGCCAAGGCCATCTGTCGCGATGAGCACCGCTGCCGTCCATTGAAGCAACAAAGCGCAGTTGCTTTCAAAGCGCATTTTTACAAAAGCCCACTAACTACTACATACGCAATAACGAAAAATATAAAATGAACATTAAATACAATAATAACAGCCAGAAAGTATAATTTTTGTTTGTGTCTTTTTGTCGTTTTGTCATTGCAGCAATACTCTTGGCGACGGCGACTTGCATTCTGGGACAAGCGCAGCTGGACTATCGCAAGCCATGGCCGACGTACAGCCTGCAAAACATGCCGCAGACGCGATTCACATGCCACGACAAGATACTCGGCGGCTACTATGCAGATGCGGAGACTCAATGTCAGATGTTCCACGTCTGCGTCAAAGTGGCCGGAGTGGGGGTAAGTGCAAGCTACATCAAGTACTAGTGTATAAGTGTGTGTGTGTGTGTGTGTGTGAAGATTGCCACCAGTTAAGTCAAGTGGTAATAGCAGCTTTTAACGATAACAGCAGCCACTTTGCAACGCACGAACTGCCAAGAAGAACAAAAAGCAAGAAAATCTGAAATAATATTGCAAATATGCAATCAAAGTGTTAGTTGCAGGCCAATGCGAATGGCTATAAGACTGAAATCACAATCGAAATGTCAAAATATGCGAATGCGATACACTTGCGTTTTCTTTGATATACCGGTGCCAGCTGCAGGTGGTGAGCGATGGAGGCATCAAATATGCGCATGCGCAATAAGCGCCCGATAGCGTTGCTCACTTCACGACGCAGTTGCCACTGAATTTTGCCGATGTCGTGCATCTCCAGTTGCAAGCAAAACGAGATACGAGTATGTGATCAAGTAGCAGCTACTTGCTTTTAATATTTGTTCGAGTAGAGGAGATTAATAATTCTTATTTCGGTTTCTTTAGCTTGTGAATTTAACTAAAATCTATAAAAGGTAGGCATTCTTTTACACAAGTATATTTCTGAACATAACTGTCAGAACTTCTTAGCTAATAGAAAGATACTTCGGTCGCCTCAAGATTTGACTAAAATATCTAGTGACATTTCACACTTAGCATTCCAGGCTCAAGAAGCACCTGTTAAACATGAGTTTAAACTCCTGTGCGAGGTTTCGTAAGCAAGTGGCCAGAATTTTCGGAACACCTGTTTCCAAACTGCACAGCAATCTGTAGACGAAGGATCAAAGGAAGAAAGCTAGGCATCTCTATTATATTCAATGGCAATTCAATTAGTTATTGAGGGTATTTAGAAACTCCCGCCACTATCGACAAAAAAGCCCATCTTATGTGTCTGATCAGTTCATTGAGTATTAAGAGGGTGTGTCCTAGAATGAAAAAAGAAACAGTTAGCTAACTATACACATAGTTTACGTGTAGATCTCAAGGACTCTTAGAATTCAGACATGCTAAAACTCCGTAGTTCGGCCAGTGTTTGGATGCCATTAATGCTTGATTCCCTAAACATAATTGATCGAGGGAGAGCTCATAAAAGAATTAGCAGATTCTCTCTGTGTTAGTATTTAATCGTTGCGTTCGAAGAGTTCGAGGCATTCTTCGTGAAATCCGAGTAACTATCATCAATTTTGTTATAAATACTGTAACTGGTGGAACTCATACATATCCCTCTTCGTTGTTGTTGTACCTTACAAGGCTCTGCAATCACAGTAGTGGTTCACAGCACAAGATAATATATCGCTTAAGGCTTTAAGTTCTCAATTAGAAAATTATTTATATCATTAGTTTCTAATCAGTACAAAATCATTAAAGATGACTCTGATTAAATTTTTCCTTTAGACCTTCTATTATTGCTCCAATGGCCAAGTAACATAATTAAAAGAAAATAACCGTTCCAATTTTTCTCGCGAAAAAAGGAAGGTTTTCTCTTAAGCATCCCAGTCGTGACTGCTAGCACCTCAAGATTTGTCATGACGCTTTTTATGAAAATAGTAAACAGCCTCGGTGCAGTCACATTTTCGAACGCTCCTACTTTTTTTACCACACGAACTTAACAAGCGATATGTTTTCGAATGACCTTTGAAGTTAAATTAAATTTTATTTCTTCTAACTGGCACGTACATTTATCTTCGATTCGGCTCAACATGCCGTTAAATAAATAAGCAGGAAGAAGCAGCATGTGGGTTGCAAGACCCCTGCAAGCGTTCTCGCATAGTTGGCTGCCTTCATTGGCAGTTTCACATTTCTGCTTAACGGTTTATTTGCAGATTCTTGCTATTCCACACTTATTGTCAACCGATATTTTCGTCTCTATTGTGTTGTAAATTAATTGAATGTGCACTCCGGCAGCGCTGGAGCTTGCTCGCGGCAAATCAGCGCAGCTGGTAATTCAAGTCGGTCACATTTTAAGTGCTGAATTGCCACAAAAAAATTCTGAATTTGATTGGCTTCTGCAGCTAACGGTAGCCAAGTGTTAGACTTCTAAGCGGCTGACGGCGTGTGCATGAAATTGTGTGTGTGTGTGAGTGTTCTTGCCATTCGTTTTCCATGTGTGTCACAACATTTATGGTATGTTGCACGTTGTACGCGACTATCTGTATGTTTGTGTGTACGCTTGTATTTGGCAATGCTCCCACAGCGCTTGCTGCTTCGCCAAATGGCAGAGTTCAACACCAGCGATAATTATGTATTGCAGAATATGATTTTACTGCGATTTCGGCTGCTCGCGCTGATTATAAAATTTATGATGCGCTCTAATGCAATGCAACTGTAAAGAGTTATATACACACATTTCTACTTGGTTAACCGTTTTCCTACTAATTTTACGTCTGACCTAAGGGGTTTGAGTAATCATGTATTTATTTTTAAGTAGTCCACTGAGAGTTCTCATAAAAGTGCCAATTGAATAAATATACGTTATTTTATGGATATAAATATTAAGCATTTTTACCTACTTACAGTTCTGATTAAAAGTAGATATAGAATAATCGATTCTTGTTAATAAATTCCTGAAACGAATTAAATAAGTTTCTAATTGTCGTTTTATTAAAGCGATTTGAAACTATTTGTAAACATCTATGGATGTAGAAAACATTTGAGTTTCAAAGCCCTTCGAATTCGGTGCCATTGTTACAAAGTGGAAGCTACGATCTTAAATGACAATATGTCATCCGGTCGGTCCCATATTAAGATAATAAATGTTTATTGATGGTGTACTATCATCTTAAGAAAGGCAACGAAATCATAATCGACATCCGCCCAATAAAAAATGAAGTGAAGTGAAGCTTTATGTTTCAAGCCACTACAGTCACGGCTTTATACTGCTTCTTTTTATAGAACTCGTGAGTAACAATGCGAGCGTGCAGAAGTGAGGGGAGACGAGAACAAACCATTTTTACTACAATAGAGAAGAAGCTATACCGATTGCCAGTACCGACCGAGAAATCCAATGATCCAAAGTGTGAAATATGTACCAGAGTAGCAGTTTTCTTTGGCACTCACATATAGAAGGTAGCTGCAAACTAAATTATAACACGAATACCTTTCAGACCGAGATTGTGGAGTTAAAGGAAAATGTCAAATGAGCTTCTGTTTTTACCAGCGAGTTCATGGATGTTAAAGGAACACTTCAGATATCGAAACACTGTCAACATACGGCATACCACAAAAATTACTTTGGAATAGTAGAGATGGTGGACAGACAAAAGGCGACTTTTTGGAAAGGGTATTCCAATAATACATATGTTATGGGTAATCAAAGCGCATTGGCTTCTCAACTTCAAAAACTTAATGCAGGAAAATTAACATAATGTCGGGCATATACTGAGGATGATGAAATATTAAAAAACCACGTTAACCATTGATCAGCCTGATATATTTCACGACTTCCTCTGTCCCAATCTAAAAAAAATTGCTTAGTTTTTTCAAAACTAAACGTAAAGTTTTATAAATCCGGTTCCAGCCGGGGTTTAATGGTACTCTGGAGCACAATGCGTCTAACAATAACTTATGTCCGGCCTAAGTTCTTTTTCGGCCAACCAACCATTATAAATATTTCGTTATTAACTTTTCGAAATTCTTTGCAGTTCTCTGTCGGATCGTGATTAATTATTTCGAACAAATGAACATTTGGTTCACCTTCTAGTTAAAAAGAAGTTTTGCTGTTTAGATACGTAGATGGTTCTCACAATTTTGTGCCACATCCTCGTCGTCGATAGAAATGATTTCTGAATAAAATATGAGTCGCAAATCAACACATATATGTACTTTTATATACATTTAAATTACACTCTTTAAACAGCATTTCCAAATAATTCAAACGAATGAATTTTACAGGTACAGGACTTCCGTTTCTTGTGTCCCAATGGCACCGCCTTTGATCAGGAAGCGCAAATATGTGCTGATTGGGGTGACGTTGACTGCGAGTCCTCCGTGCTCTATTATGGCAGTGACAACTTTGATCTGTATCGTATTGGTTCAGGTTTTGAAAGTAAACGTGCACCGTTAGCTGAAGAGGAAGAAGCAACGTTCCATTTGCAGCGCGCCGAGAGCAGTAAGTGCAAAAGGATACTAAACACTAATAAATTAACAAAGAAATTATTATTTTCTATAATATACCTATATTAACATGCTAACATTTGTGAGAAAGGTATGGTAAAATATATATAATATTTTACATTTACAAACTTTAAATCTTCAAGTCCCCTGCATACTTATTTATAACGCCAGATCACGCACAAGTGCTCAATTGAAAGTTATTATACAACATCTGCGAAAAGTATGTCTCATTATTATATTATTTCTTTTTTTTTTTGGCAAATAGGCGATATCCGCCGCTCCAAAGAGACGCGCGTTGATCAAAAGTCACGCCCTGATCAACCGCCGAACTATTCAAAACACTTTGGTGCAACACCTCAACGCAACTCTTTCCATAATTATGCAAATTCAAATACGCAAAGCAACAACAACAATGACAACGATGATTATGCACCCACAAAAGCACGAAGAATCGAGACGACACCAGCGCGTAGACCTATTGTTAATTATTATACACCAACAACTTCGACCACCACCTCCACAACAACATCAACAACCACGACCACTGAACGCAATTTTGATGAGTCAAAACGTAAGTTGTGCCGAATAATTGATTGAGCGACCTATTTGATTCGGTTGAACGTTTCACTTTTTTGTATTTGTATTTTTATTTATGTCTCAACACCTTTTCTCACGTAATTGATAATTTTGCAGAAGAGTATGATGACATCTTTAAAGGTTCGCATAGTTCGCATTTCTTTGCGAACCGCAACGGGGGACGTGAGGACGATTTCATTGATCACCCGGTGAAGGCGAAGTTCAACGACTTCAATGACTACAACAAAAAGACTACGGAAAGCGCCACTACTGGCAAAACACGAGCACAACCAACACGCCCGAAGCGAATTCAACAAACCAGCACAACAACAACAACCGCCACTTCCACATTACTTGCCACAAATGCACCGAAAGTTATAAAGAAAATTACATTGCAAAGTTACTATAACGCCAGTGGATATGACCTTACCCAACAAAAGTCCACTACCTCGTCGAACACCACTACAGCTGCTACCTCGACTATACGCCCGAGTTACAGCGCTGCAAATCGCTTCAGCTTCAATTCGAACGACTATCAGACACAAGAGAAAATTGAGCCAACGACCTATAACCCGACGAGCAGCGTTTATCGTATTAAAAGCACAACGCCGAAGTATACTGAGTTCACACGAGAGAATACTGTCAGCGCGAGAGGAAGAAGCGCCAGCACGAGCACAAGCGCGAGTTCGTATCTACCCAAAGAGACGACGCAAAGTCAAAGTAAGCCGACCGCTTCGGCGCGTAAGGCGCAAAAATTAGAACGCACACAACAGAAGCTGGCCATCGCTAATGAATTTGATGATTTCTCGAAAATAAAATTACAACCACCGCAGCCTTTCCAACCTGTACAGAATACGCAGCCAACACAGTCGACGCAGTCAACACAGCCCTCTCAACGTCCAACAACAGTGTATCAGTACCAGGAACCGCAGTACTTCCGTTCACGTGGCACAAAAGGTGAAAAGTCACAACGTCAAGGCAATCAAGAACCAACTTCATTTAGTGGCTCTCAAAAACAACGCGGTACCACTACTACAGCTGCCGTTAGTACAACCAGATCCACTGTTAATCCGGAATCGCGTCCACGCGGTTTCGCCAGTCGCGGCAGCATCAATTATAAAGCGACAACACAACGCGAGACGGATTATTACGCGCCTACGACGAGCACCACCAAGAAATTCTCTACGCTCGTGCCGAAAACGCAGCAATCGCTAACACCAACAACATTCAAGCCAACCACTTATCAGAAACCATTGGATACTTTCCTATATCAAACACAGCAAACTGTGCGACCCTCAAGTAAGGCGACCAAACAGCCGGGTAATGTAATTAACACTTTAACCCCTACGACTGCCAATCCTCACTATGACCCCGATGAGGATGATGGTCAATACCACCCGGAGTTGTATGAGGTTGATTTCCCACGCAACCGTTTCAATCTACAACGCTCATCTACAATAAAAGCGCCGACTACAGCAACGACAACCACCACACGTTCTTCTAATTACAACAATGATTTTCAGAATCCACAAAAACACCTGAAAACCCAACAACAAACCGCATTCCGCAAACAGCAAGAAGAAGCGGAACCAACCGATTTGAGTGATGAAGATGAACTCTTTAAAACCGCACATTCTTTGAATTTCGGCGCTGCCAGCATCAATAAATTGCGCGCAGACATTTTCAAAGCCGAGAAGAATTCACAGCAATACAACTCACAATATAGCCCGCAGATTGAGACGTCATCGACGAGATCGACTAGTATCTCAACGGCCTATACAACAACCACACCCAGCACCACTTATAATTACTTCGCCTACTCCACAACTCTGCCGACAACTAAGCTGTATACCTCCAGCACCACCAACGCACCGCCAACGACGGCATCCACCACAACTACCACTAGACGACCTACCACATACATTACAACACCATATAGTGCGCCAGTCTCGACCACCAAGGTGACAAAGGCGCCCAAGAGCAGCAAATCGCCAGCGAAAAAGGGCAAGAAAGGTAAAGGCGCCTCCAAGCGTCCACCACATGCCGATGAGGACACCAGTTACGACTATGCCTACTATGACACCGACACGTTGAGCGAGTCCCCGCAGGAATATCCAGACTACGAGATTCCTGAATTCGTAAAAACTCGCAGAAACTGAGGCAGTGAGAGATGACGGAATTCACACAAAACACCCGTACTTCATAGTCGCGCCATCACTTACAGTTACAAAAGAATATTTGAACTATCTCTAATCAGTGTTGTTCTGCAAAAAAGGGAAGTTAGAGTTGAGTTCTTATCTCCCTTACTATTTGCAACGAAATTAGCTTCTTTGAAAATATTGACAAAGCTTGAAGTCGGTGTCAGTGCCAGAGTTTTTTAATGTCACATATACGTCATCCGCCCACTGTCAACCTGCCTATAGCCGCAGCGTGTGCCGCACACTTCATTATGCAGTTATTTTTTTTTACTTTTTATACCCCATCCAATATCTTGTAATTTAATATTATTATTTGCGTGTTTCTAGTTATTTGCGAAATAATTATAAAAAATACGCGAAAAATGGCGCAGTTCATAGTCGTTAGACAAATACTCAACAATTTTAATTTAGACCTCGATTTTTTATGTTTTGACTTTTTGTGCTCTAATTGTCTTTCTTTTTTATTTAGAATTTTCGAAAATATTTTATATTTTATTTTTATTTTTTATTTATAAAGAAGACAAGTTGAGTTAAGTTACATAAGTTCGAAATGACAATTTATTGTAACAACAAAGTGTATTTACTTTGTAAGTTTTTGCTGTAAATAAATTTTAATAAATATTTAAAATAAATAAAAAAAATTGTTTGTTTTTGTTTGCCTTATTTAATTAGTAGTAAAAAAATTATTAATAATTTTTTATTTGATTGATACAGTTATTACAATTCCTTCTAAAATATGACAATGAGGATAGTGAAAAAAATTCAATGTTAAGAAGCCCTTATTTATCTTTTTTGGACCCTTCAAAATATTTGCTGAAGCACATCACATAATCGTCGAAAAATCGATTATTTACATACAAGTACTATAATTATAAGGCTTGGCGAATGGCATTCAGCGAATTTTCAATTTTTTGGTTTCCTTCATTCATTCTTGGAGCGCCACTCGCTAGATTGTTGGACAGTTTCGATGTCATATACATTAACACATGTCTCGTAACCAGTGCTGATGTGTTCATGCCTCAGCTTCGTCGTCATGTATCCATTTTGCGACTTTTACTTAAGTCAGTTTTGCACAAGATTGTTTTGGTACAAATCAGGCATTTATACCCAAAACATTAACCAAAATATGTTAAGTCGATTCATAAAAAAAGCTGAAATCCTCGATGACTTCACGACCCTCACTAAATGCTTTGTGATACTCAAATACTTGTGTTTGTGATAAAGAATACTCTCGAAAACATTTCTGAAACATTTTTAAGGATGCTTGTTGTTCAATATTTTTCGGCAAACAAACCTTTTGCGTCATAAACAAAATGCTCCAGTTCGGATCAAGTTTGATCACGTTAGTTACAAAAAACTTTGGTTGAGTATAATTCTCTCAAATTCACTTTATATATCTAGAATTTGCAAAGAGAGAGCCAAAATTAAATATTTGATATAAAGTCATTTTCTCTTTCTCCGCAATCAACGTAAAGAATCGTAACCTATAATGTCTGAAGTCAACCATTCTTTTTAAATGCGTACTTATTAAAGTATGACATCAAAAGATACCCCAAATCAAAAACTTGTTGTGACTATGATGAATTGTTGTCAAATGTCTCGAAAGTTCGATAATTGCAGATCAACTATAGATACAAACTGTTTATTCTACTTTCTACTACTATTTTGGAATTAAAATAAGTTAATGAAAATGTCTCCATATTTTTTAAATTAAAACTTAATAAAAACTTTAAATCAACGCTATTTCTTGCAGTGTATCACTTCCAATGCGCCTGAAAGTATACCCAAGAATTGCAATTTTCTAAAAATAAATGCGCCAACTAAAACTTATTAACAATGCTTCCCACAATTTGAAATCATATATTTACTTATATACTCTACTCCTATCCAAAACAGAGGAATCCTTTATGTACTGTTTTAGCAATATTGTTATATTATATATTTTTAACTGGTATTCCCATCATCATGTTTATCATTGATATGACAATATTTGCATGAAAATTTGTATCTCAGGCATATCAGAAATTTTTAACTTCATTGGAAAGAGTGTATTTGCTTGATCTCAATGTCGAGTCTGACATTTCCATACTTCGTCACAAAGAATATATATGAGTGCTGCAACGAAAATGGATTCCATTTTCATTCAGATAATGGCATTAACAATTCACAGCACACTTACTTATGTGCGCCAATTTGTTCATTAGAAATACGTAAGAGTTTACAGTCTTAAGTACATTTATTATTAATTGAAATTATAATATTATTGAGCTTAACTCAAAATCTTAGTACAATGGAACAAAACGAGCAATAAGTCTCCAACTTCCCCGCCAATTTTCAGTCTTTAAACTTCTGTTTCACACATCTGGGCATCGGGAATAAATAGAGCAACATATTAAAAGCCGCCAAACCTACGGCGAAAGCACACGAGGCAGCAACATCAATGGTTTCCTTAATAAATATAAAGTTTTCATACAAAAAAAAAAAAAAAAACGTTTAACGTAGACTTAATTCAGTCCAACTTACATCAGGATCGGCCATGCCGAGACGTTCGTGCAGGAAATCAGCCGGCTTGGGGCAAATAACGGACGCTGTGGGCGTACAATTCATTTTGCGTGATTGAAAGGCAATGCTGTGCAGCAATGACGACACATAACGGGTATGTGTACCCTTTGTATTTTCCTGTAACCAAGGCTGGAGTCCCTTGAATGAACGCACCGTGCCGCTGGCCAATGCAATACTGATGACGAGAATGTAGGTGACTGCAATGGCGGCATTGAAAGGCACCTTCACAACCAATAAGAAAGCGATGCTCAACTGTTCGGCGAGTACGAAACTGGACCACAAAGCAACCAATAAATAAGCGAAGACGATGCCGTTGGGAAATTTCGGATCCAGAAGGAGGCTGGAGAGAAAAGGAAAATATTAAATTTTGTTTTAATCTTCTAAATTTCATGAAGCTTACGGATAAATGACGCAACTAGCAAACACTGCCGATATTAACGAAAACGGTATTGCTATGGAGTTGTAGGCGATCAACAACGTAGCGCCCGAGTAGAGGCCTTCTGGTGTATCCTGCGAGAAACGTTTGCGCCAGATTGGAACTGTGAGAAGAAAGAAGAGTTAAATCTAATGGTTTTTGCTATAAACAGTGCTGTATGTATGTACATAGTGATATTGTGGTGAGTGTGCCGCAGCCATAAGCCAAACCAATGATATTGAGAATCATGCCATTCTTGCTGAAGAAGCCATGTGCATCGTCCTGCAAACAAATATATTCAAGAAATACGCTTTTTGTATTTAGACAATTTTAGTGAGGACTTACCCCCACATCGGTGTAGAATAGCCACATAAGTGCCATCGCTATGGGCAGCAGCAGCAAGCGCATGAAAAGCGCTTTCATGCCGGCGAGGCCACATGAAAAGGTCGAAGCAAGCAGTTTGCTAAAATTTTGAACAGAAACATTAAAATAAATGATTAATTAATCTCTTTACAACACTTACAGATACAACATAATCCAGACTTTCAATTCACCAGGCTTTCCATATGCTAACGGCACTTTACCGCTACCCATTGTATGGATTGGTGCATCAGACATGGGAGTTTCACGCGCAAACCGGTCCACTAATGCTTCAATCTGCTGGCTGGACTCTAAAAAGCGATCGCGGCTTCTGCAAAAGTAAATAGTTAAATATAAAACAAAATTATTAGGTTACTAAAAGCTTTCGTCTCTTGACTTACCTACGATCTACAGTGCTCAAACAGAGATAGTACATCAATGGGTTTTCGAGTTGTGGACAGGGAAATCCAATACTATGAAAATATTCGAGCATTGCTCGGGTACCGCCTGAGTACACTACACCACCCAGGCAGAGAAACAATGCGCGATCGAGAAAGGGAAATACATCGGAGCGTGGTTTCTCCAAAGAAAGTAATATTCCGCAACCAGTCTTCTTGGCGCTGTTCGAAAGTATCGATATTAGTAGATAGGCGCTGAGCGGATCTAAGCCCTGTGTGGGTTCGTCAAGCAGCAGCATAACTGAAAGGAAAGAAAAAATATTATAATTTATAAGCATGACATAGGTTAGGTTGAGATGATTGCTTAAAAAGCAAAAATCAAATTTCGACGAAAAGTTTGGTTTTTTTTTAAGAAAAAATACTACAAACTACTATAATCTTCTTGAATTGAACAGCATTACTTTTGCGACGTGATTGTGTATGGATGTAATTCAACCACATATATTCGGCATAAAATCTACCTAAAAATCGGAAATCACAATATTATCTGTGTGAAATCTAGGAGCAGTACTAGTTCGATTTCATTTACTTATAACATTAAAATTATGCATGTTCGCGAAAATAACTCACATATGACCGATAACTCACATATGAGCAATATATTCTGCATAAAATCAACTATAATAACGAAAATTACTATTTTAGGTAGATTGGGGCTATGGTAAGGTAAGGTGCTGATCCGAATTTATCCTTTTTTGACCCTAGACACAATGTTAAAGAAATATGTTGGCTCGGTTTCATTCAGATGCTTCGTAAATTGACGACATAAAGCCAGGAGAACTCCTCATATTCGATCTGCGGGCTTCAAAAGGTGCGATTTAGTCTTTTTTTAGATGAGAGTTTACACACGTTATAGGCGCTATAAAACTAATTACGCTGCATATGACGTTATATACCAAAATTTTAATGGGCAAATTGAGCAAATTTAGCGGGCATAATTGAGTCTGTTTTACGGTACGTACCTGGATCTCTTACTAGCTGTATTCCAATAGCAAGTCTACGCGCCTCGCTCATATTCAAATATTCGACACGTTTGTGGGCTACTTGAGATAGTGCCAAGTCGGCCAGTATTTGACGTACTTTTGAGCTTTTCAAGTAGCCAGACAGCTTTAGAAAAAAAAACAGTAAATAGTTAAATTGTATTACCAATCCGTTTTATAGCATTGATTTGCTTACTATTGTTGGTGTGTAATGCAGCGTCTGCGCCACCGTTAGTCCCGGTATGAATGTGCACGATTGTGTCACATAGCCGCAACGTTGCTGGAAGAGTGCTTTCGTTAGCGGCGAACCGTTAAGTAGAACTTGACCACGCGTTGTACCATCAGCGCGACGGGCAATCACATCTAACAACGCACGTTTGCCGCTGCCTGCAATAATTTTAACAAAATAAAACGTTTGATTAATGCAAATAACATTTCCCTATCGCTTTATTACCTTTCGAGCCCAAAATGGCCATCACTTCACCACTATGCACAGTCAAGTTAACTCCTTTGAGCACCAGCGCTGGAATGCCACCACCATTGAAGCAACCACCGCCATCCACCTATGGGATTAGGCAAAATATGTGTTATTCGAAAACTAAAGATTTAAGCAACGAACTTGAGTGGAAAATATTTTGTACACACATCTTGGCTACTAACTTAACATATTTCAATAATAGAATAATTATTTTTAATTTTTTTTTTGTGAAAATTATTATAAACAAAATATGTTTGGCGTTTATCACTACGCTACCTCTGTGGTGTGGAAAATGTTGTGCGCCTCTAGTACGTAATCGCTTCCGATCATTTTCATGTCATTCATTCAGCCGCTACACCGTACTGCTACTTGGCTGTGACGT